GGTTTCCTTACACGTTACATATCCCACCAACTAAGTACAAACAAATGAATGAATAAAAAATAACAGTAGAAATGTACACCCCCTTTTTTTATAGTTTATCGAAACTTACTACTTTTTTATTTAATAAGTAGTTTTAGTTATCTTGAATTTTCACAGTTCTCTGTAATTGTCTTGTGTAATTATAGCACCTCCACCTCGTGTTCTAATACCACGTAATGCAAGTGTTGAACCTAGGACGGATGCAATACTTACATGTAATATATTTAGTTTACACGAAAATATTGATGTCCGATGGTATCGAGGTTTAGATCCAAGATTTGAATTAAAGAGTGGACGTCGTCATACAATTAAATTAAATCAAGATACGCCGGCTGGCGGTTTAACATCAGCTTTTACAAGTACATTAACAATAAGGTATGTTATGTATATATATATATATATATGATATAATTCACTTGATTAATAATAGTATTAGCCAATAATATTCATAGAATTGAGAGTGTGTAGTTCACTGGCGAGCGAATGCGCGGAAGAATGAATGAAGTGGAGAGGCTAGCGAACCTACTTCATTACCGTCATAATATATAATATCATCATGAATCAGAATAATAGTTCTTTCATATTAATACGATAATGATAACGATCATTGGATAATTCGAGAAATGGATTCATGCAGCGAGTTAATACGTAATCGAAAAGATGATAATAAGATAATACGATTTTTGTATGTGAATATAACCGCTGAATTGGGGTTTGCTGCTTTCGTCCGATGCGAGAGTGTGTTGTCGGTGTTGTATATTGAATCTGATTCGTTCAGCGAATTCATTAATTTCCTGAGCTGCTTTGTCGCTGTATCACGTCAGGCTCACCATTTTGTAGTGTGTCGAATTAATGAGTATTCTTAAGCTCGGTTTATAAATCAGAACATGAATTCGTAGTGATGAATACGTTTATTCAGAACACACCACAAAGCAAAGCGGAGAAGCAGTGAATAAAACGAAGGAAGCGAATGGATGGGTGAAGCGCCTTGGAGAAGGTTAAGAGCCAACTCAAAGAGATAGAACATGACTAAGAATATATAGTCAGATAAAAATAAGACAGACATATGATAAGCGAAATAGGCATGCACAGAAATAAATAAAAGCGACGAATGATTGATAAGGTCAAAAGCAAGCGATACAAATCATGTGAGTTCATGGGGATATTAAGAGATTAACATTAAAGAGAAAAGGATGAGTAAGCGCGTAGGCATAAACAATGCTCAGTCGTACAAGAAGCTCATACAAACCAGATAATAAAAAATATCAATGGTACATATGGGTTGTTGCTATACAAATAGCGTGGTTAATCGAAAGGCGTAATCAAATTAAATATGAGCGAACTCAAGTTTATGTGGAGGCACTACAAGTGTACTGAAAATGAAATGTTTGTAATTATTGCTATTCATTAAAATTAAAATTATGTGAGTACAATCCACACAGACTTTATATTCATTCACAATTATCACCAGAGTGTATGTAGCAACTTCAGAATGAATTACTTTACTGGTTTTCTTGTCAATGAAATGTCTAAATGACTATTAGTACACTTTATCAGCAAAAGTTTTATGATATTTTTTTGAATTTAAGTTACGAAGATTAGTGTTTTTACACATTTGAAATCATCAATCAATCATTGTTAAACCACACCATTAGAAATCTGGAAGCACTGGATGGCCGTTTCAACCTGGTTGGGTGTAGGCAGTAACAACCAAAGACGAATAGACCACCCAAAATCCCTAGATCGATCAGAGTTAGACATTAACACCGTTGGATGCCGGATGCAGGAGTCATGGATTCGCTCTGCTGATGAGGAGTCCCATACCATGACCAAATGGCCATATTTCAGTGCTTCTAGGTTTCTAATGGTGTGGTTTAACAATGATTGATCGATTATTTCAATGTGCAAAAGTTTTTATTCTTAGTTACCAGTATACTTTATGTTCAAGTTAAAAGTTACATGATTTTCTTTTAATTCAATTCTTTATTTTTAAAAATAAGAGTCATTAACTCATAGAGAATTGATGCTTTACTTTTAAATGTAACAAACAGTAGCCTGAGTGATCAAAGATTACTACCTGTTGTATACAATAAAATATGAAGGTATTATTCACAAATACATCACTAGAATAGACTATTAATATAGTAAGGATTTATGCTGTTACTGTGAACCTGTGTAAGATGAAGTCAAAATACCGTTTTTTTATTTGCAATAATTGTCATCAGAGAACTCCATCTGGAGCTCTTCTAGGGTTACTGCCAGTCCTAAGACCGGATAAAGGTGGAGGGTTGGTGTTGGAGATGTTATATCCCCAAAACTCGCTTGATAAATGCCTTATTTTGGTTTTCACGTTTGCCAGCATGGGATGATCAGTTGACCCTGAGATTTCATTTCCCGCCGGGAAAATCCATGGATGTGATTTGCTGCTGTGTATTTTAGTGTGCTATTTTCGTAACTGTCCCAAGGACGTTTCTATGATGATGTATAAATAAACGAGAGTTGTGTGCTTGATTGTACTGTGATTGCTGGGTGTTTGTAGAAATATGCTTTCTACGCTTACAAAGCCTTCTTACTCTGTTTGGGGATTCAAAGTAACCTACCTGGACGCTGGTAAGAGTCTCGTTCGCGTTTATCGACTAAGGTAAACTCGTAATAGCCTCAAGCATACTTAGTGACGAATATAACAGTTGGGCATGGGGTTAGCGACCCCATCCAGCAGAAATCCAACTCGCCAAAAAATGCTGACCAGAAAAATGATACGCTGGTAGGCGGCCTATGCTTAATTAGGGGTAACAGGAGTAAGTAAGTAGTCAGTAAGTCATTATAGGTTTTGTGAAGATTGTTGAGTTTTATTCAAGTTATGAATCGATCATTTTCAAACCAGTATTAGAAGCCTGGAATTACTTGACAGCCGTTTAGTCGTTTAATAGAATCCATCAGCAGTGCACATCCACAACCCCACAAGTCAGGATTGAACCCATAACCTTTGGTCTCGTGTACGAATTATAATACATTACTAAACAATGGAGTTGAGAATGAAAGTTTTTGCAATTTAAAAAATGTTACAGATCATACGTATATATACATTTTGGTCGAATAGGAAACAGCATCGAATTCTGTGACATTGACAGTTAAGACGACGACCAATAGGAAGTAACATTTGAAATGACATTGACAGTCCGAATGACCAATAAGAGACAATTTTGAAGTATTTGACTTTGACTGGTAGAACGACCATAATTTTGACCAATAGAAATCGACCAATAGGATTTGACCAATAATTCTCTTAGGATATTGGATGAATATCTTAACATCATGACAGTTTGGCTTTGAAATTTTATTTTATGCTTATTCAACAATCTAAATCACCCGATTTATTCTTATTAATGTTGTCATCTGTCGCTTATTTAAAAAAAAACACACTATTTCTCACTATCTTCACATTTTATTCCCATTTCAGGAGTGCAACTGAAAGTGATGCTGGCAAGTATATTTGTGAAGCAGAACATAAAGGTGGTCTAAGTGAAGCAGATGGATTTTTAATTATACACAGTAAGTAATTTTGTTAACTTGTATGTAATGTAACAGGAAGCTTACTTACTTACTTACTTACTTACGCCTGTTACGCACCAATGGAGCATAGGTCGCCCATCAGTTTTCTACAAACAACTCTGTCCTGGGCTTCTCTCTCAGGTTCTGTCCAATGTTTGTTCATTCCTCTCATATATTTCTCTATTTCTCGGCGTAATGTATTCTTTGGCCTTCCTCTTTTCTTTTTGCCTTGAGGGTTCCATGTGAGGGCTTGTCTCGTGACGCAGTTAGGTGCTTTTCGTAATGTGTGTCCTATCCACTTCCACCGCTTCTTCCTGATTTCCTCTTCCACTGCAATCTGCCTTGTTCTCTCCCACAGTTCGTTGTTGCTGATGGTGTCTGACCAACGAATCCGAAGTATTTTGCGCAGACAACTGTTAACAAACACTTGTATCTTGTGAATGATGGCTTTCGTAGTTCTCCATGTTTCCTCTCCATACAGTAGAACTGTCTTGACATTAGTACTGAAAATCCTGATTTTGATTTTGGTTGAAAGTTGTTTGGAGTTGCAGATATTTTTCACCTGTAGAAACGCAGCCCTTGAATAGCCAGTCCGCACCCTAACATCTGCATCGGATCCACCTTTCTCATCGATGATGCTGCCCAGATATGTAAAGGTGTTAACGTCCTCCAAGGCATCACCACCATCAAGAATGATTTGGTTGGTGCATGTTGTGTTGCATCGGAGTATTTCGCTTTTTCCTTTATGTATGTTGAGACCTACTGCTGCTGCAGAGACTGCTGCTACACTGGTCGTCTTCTCTTGCATTTGTTGTTGCGTGTGCGATAGAACAGCCAGTTCATCTGCGAAGTCAATCAATTGACAAGATTCATGATATCTGTCTTATTTCAAACATCAGAATAAAATACAAATAGTTTATACTGAAGTTTCGGATTTTGTGGCCTGGAATGGAACTCCCATTTCTAGGTACGACTGAATATGCTATCATACCTTAAGTGAACCCCGTTTGTGCGAACAGGGGCAATAAGAAACTAGATAAAGATACAGTTGGATGAGTTTCTTTCATGCAATCGTTCAAGCAGAGAGATATGAGGATACAAAGCGTAAAAGCGAAGCTAAGCGAAGTGAAAAGGCGAAGGCGAGTGAACCAACTCAATGCGATGTGGCATGACTAAGTATTTATGGCGAGATAAAAATAACTAGACAGGTGAAAAGCGAAGCAAACAATGAACACACGCTCACTCAAATAAAAATAATCATGATTATTAGCGAGTAGCTGACTAGATCAAAAGTTGTGTGAATTACTGAAGAGAGATTAGTTAATTTGTCCAATGGCTTGCCTAGACATATTAGTACACACTACAAGGACATACTTATCATTAATGTGAAAATTTTGAAGATTTTCCACTTAGAAATTCGTTTTCTTTGTGAACTAACTGTTACGCATGTACGTAAACATGTTAATTTGATATACTTGAACTATTACGAGTTTATCTTAGTCGGAAGACGAGAACAAGGATCGAGGATTCGGCGACACGACATGCTACTCTAATCCGATTGTCCGAAACCCCCATTGAGTAAAAGAAGAAGACTTGTTATGAAGTAGAACCTGTATTCTACAAGCATCCAGAAAGTACGAGGTCCAAGTCCAGAAGAGAATCAGGATCCTGGATTAGGGATCCGGGTCCGAATCATAAAACGCTACAGATGATGCGTATTTATACAATTAAGTTGAATAGCAAACAACATTCAAGTATGTGACACTGATACTTAGGACGACCAATAGGAAGCAACATTTGAACCGACACTGGCAGTCACGAAG